GCAGGATGAGGAGCCCTGGCAGCGCTGGAGCCCAGTGCCCCGTCGGGCAGGGCAGGACCCATGGTGACAGCCCGGGTCCTCCCGCCCCTGCGCTTGGCTGCCCCGCCACCCTGTCACCCCGCTGCTGGGCAGCCCCGCTCTCCTGGGGGAAATGGGTGCCACGCGGGCTGCGCTCCACCAGTGTCTATTAATTGGTCACTAATAGTGTCTAATAGGAATTCTGGGAGCTGGCACCCTGGTTTGCAAATGAAGAACAAGGCCAAAATTTAGCTCCCAGCTAATTTATTTCCTGGTTCCCACGTGGCAAGTCCGTAGCTGCCAGGGCAGCAGCCCTTGGCTGAACATCATTTTCTTCCTCCCGGCCGCCCCCTAAAGCTGGTTGAGGTGGTCACGGTTGAGCTGGGCAGAGCCGGTGCCTGTCACCGCTGCGGTCCCTCCACGTAGTCAAGAGCTGTCTAGTCCCAGCTCGCATCAGGCTGGCAAGGTCCTGGTCAGCCCCTTGTGAAAACTGAGGCTTTCCCGTGCCAGGCGGGTGGCTGCAGGCAAGGAGGGAGCTGGCACATGTGGCACGGTGGGGTGGCCGTGCCCTCTGGTGGCCACGGGCCTGGCCGTGCAGGAGAGGTCTGTGTGCTCCGCAGCTGGTGAGGGGCAGTTGTGCCTTGGTTAAAACCCCCGCAAAAGGGCTGTGTGTGGCGTGCCTCTATTGTGCCAAGTTGTCCCTCTGTCCCCAGGATCAAGGGCTCAGTGAGGATGGAGGTCTGTGCTCGCGGAGGCTGTGGCTGCTGGGACAAAGTCACATCCCAGCACTCTGGGGCTGCAGCCAGAGCTACAAGTAGCCTGGGTCGAGCCACGGCCTGGGTGGTGCCCGGCACCTATGGCAACAAGCTCTGGTGTGTCCCAAACAGAGCTACCTGCAGCCATGGGCATGGACGGCCACCTCACCTTTCTCGTCCTCCTCCTCACCTTTCATTGCCCAGGTATGAACCTCCTGGCCAGGGGGTCCCAGTGCCTGGGCTGAGGGCACCTCTGGCCAGGTGCTGCGTGGGGCAGTGAGAACAGGGGGCAGAGGGAGACAGGTTCTCCCAGCCAGCCCCCTTCGCCAGGATGGGAATGGGGTGGTGGTAGGAATTAGGTGGAACAGCTAGAGGATCACCCAGGCATTGCTGGGACATCTCTAGGGCTTCCCGGGGGGCATCTCCAGAGCATCACCAGGACTGGGGCATCTCTGGCAGGTTAGGATGACGTCGTCTTGTCCTTTTTCCAGGGTCTTTTGCCGCAGGTAAGAGCAGGGCGCCCTGGACACCGCAGGGCACAGGGACAGCAGATTCCTCAGACTAGCTGGGTGACTCTCCAGCCTGGTGCGTTGGTGACGAGGCCCCGACCTGAGCCTGGTCCATGGGCGCCTGCCCTTGCCAGCCCTGCTCGGCCTGCCACACACTGTCACCGTGAGCGAAGACACCGCACCGGGCACCGCCGTGGCCGAGGTGACCCTGCTCTGCAGCAACGGCAGCAGCAACCCCCGGGTCATGCTGGTCCGTGTCGAGCCCAGGAGTCCTTCAGATCCCAATGCCACCCTGCTTGGTCCCTTCAACCCCGTCGCCGTCAGCAGCAATGGCTCGCTCGCCTACACGTTTCAGGCTGAGGTAGAGCCGGGTGGCAGTGCCCAGGCCAGCTGAGGGCAGGGAGTTTGGCTGGGAGCCCAGGGGTCGTGCATGCCCTGCTGAGCACTGTGCCACTGCGGCAGATCACGCTGAGCGCGGGCGCAGCACTTGATGTGCGCTGGGTGAACCAGTACACGCTGACTCTGCGGGCTGCCTGCCACGGCGAGGAGGAGGCTGAAGGGCAGCTCTTCGTCAGGGTGACGCCGGTGCAGACGCTCCGCTGTGCTGCCAGCTTTGCCAGCACAGGTAACGGTCGGTGCCAGTGGCGGCGCCACCCGAAGCGGGAGGCATGGGGCGCAGCTGCCCATGGCGGGGGCAGCTTTTGGCCACCCCGGCTCACACCAGTCTTCTCTGGGTGCCCCTGTTGTGCTTCAGAAGGAGACACGGTGCAGGTCCTGGCAGACGTGGCGCCCCAGACACTCCTATACACTGTGGTGCCATTCCAGACGGCCAGAGAGCTGACAGTGAGTCCTGGGTACAGTGGGGTCCCCCCCAGCAAGGGGCGACTGCCTGGGGCACCCCAACCTCCTGCCCTCTGTCATCTTTTGGGGCGTGGGTCGGGAGAAGGTAGACACAGGATGCTGCCAAGGACACGGGAGACGGGAGGTTTCTGCTCTCCCTTTTGTCCCATTTCTGCAGTTCTACCTCAAAAACAATGACACTCCGCTTGTCCTCTCTGAACGGGGCACGGTGCTGGCACCTGCCAGCGGCTTTGATCCCAGGCCCAGCACCCAGGTGAGTGCCAAGGTCTCCTAGCGCTGGTATCGCCCTCATCCCAGCCTGGCTGGCATTAGCCCCATGGCCCTGTCCATGGCTCGCAGCAGCCTGTCCCTCACCACATGGGCACCCCAGCCCCAACTCTGTCCCCATTCCCATCCTGTCCCCATCTCTATCCCTGTTCCTATTCCCATCCTCATCTTCATCGCCATCTCCTTCTTCAGCCCCATCCTTGTTTCCATCTCCATTTCTGTTCCCACCTCCACCTCTGTCCCTGTCCCCCATCCCTATTCGCATCCTCATCCCTTCTCCATCTCTGTTCTTGTCTCCATCTCCATCCACATCCCTATTCCCATCTCCATCTGCATTTCTGTACCCATTTCTATCCTCACCTCCACCTCCATCTTAATCCCCATCTCTAGCCCTGTTGCAGTCCTCATCTCTATCCCAATGTCTGTCTCTGTCCCCATCCCTCTCTGTTCTCATCCCCATCTTCACCCCATCCCGAGGACCCAGTGCTGCTGCTGGCAGGTGGGTGGCCCCTGCTCCTGGCTGTCCCCCTGGGCTCCGGCCCCGGTGTTGCCCGCAGGTGTTCAGGCTGGAGATCGTGGTGATGGATCGGCACGGGCACAACTGCAGCGGGGCCGTGACGGTGGAAGTGCTGCCATCGCGCCGTCCCCAGATCAACTTCACGTGAGTGGGGACAGGCTTGGGGCCGCTGGGCCTCGTGCCATGCCGTGTCTGATGTCTGTGCTCGCAGAGAGTCGTGGCGGGATGTGGCGGTGCCGGAGGGCATAGGCCCCTTGGAGCTGGTGACACAGGTCCACGCCAGTGGTGACAAGGTCCGCTATGTCCTTCTTAATCCAGCGGCACCAGCGCTCTTCACTGTTGACGCGGGTGAGTGGGGCAAGCAGAGGGGACCGCAGGGACACCCCCAGCATTTAAGCGTGTCCCCACCTGGGCCACCCCGGCCCAGCGTGAGGCTCCCTCCATGCCCTACAGTGAGCGGTGAGATCCGCAGCACCCGTCGGCTGGACCTGGAGCGCTTCCCGCAGGCGGCCCACACGCAGCTGCTCGTCCAGGCCTACGAGGCGCGGGCGCCCATCGCCCCTGCCCCGATGCACCTCAACATCACCCTTGACCGGCGGACCAG